CCTCCCTTAGCGTAGAACCTTGTGACCAGGTCCTAGCCAATGGGAGGCGAGCAGAGGCAGCGTGGTCACTTCCAGTCCTGGCCCATAAAGACCTCCCGTGGGCTCTGAGCTTTCCCTTTCCATGATGACCTTGAAGGTCACAAGTTGAGGATGGTGGGGCCACAAGATGGAAGGAACCTGGGCCCTGAGTTCCCTTTTGGAGAAGCACTGCCCTCCAATCAGATAAACCCTTATGAACCTTATGTGAGCAAGAAATAAACTTCCATTGCATTTGAGCCTATATATTTTGGGTTTGTTACAGCAGCAAGCTTTGCCCTAACTAACGTAGGTACGGGGTCCCTGAGTGGTGCAAATGGTTAACGCGCTCAGCTGCTAACCAAAAGGTTGGCAGTTCAAGTCCACGCAGAGCTGTCTCAGAAGAAAGTCCTGATGATCTACTTCTGAAAAATCAGCCATTGAAAACGCTATGGAGCACTTCCTACTTTGACACACATGGGGTCACCAAGAGTCCGAATCGACTCAACAACGACTAGTTAATGTCGGTATAACTAATATATATCCCACTGCCGTCAAATCGATCTGACTCATAGCAATCCTGTGGGACAGAGTAGAACTGCCCCATAGGGGTTCCAAGGAGCAGATGGTGGATTTGAACTGCTGACCTTTTGGTTAGCAGCTGAACTCTTAACCACTGGGCCACCAGAGTTCCAATAGACATAGTATAATATATATAACTGAGGGAAGCAGTAATAAGCCCCATTTTACAGATGAGAAAACTCAGACACAAAGAAACTAATGAACCTGGCCGAGGTTAGTAAGGGGTGGAGCCAGGATTTGACCCCCACTCCTGAACCAATCACTGTGGCCAGAGCACTGGTGGTGTTCTGATTGGCCAAGCTGGTGCCAGGTTCCCATACCTTAACCCCAGAGAGTGGGGTCAGCTGCACAAACCACAGGTTCAGAGTGGAGTAGAGATGAATGGTTCCCTAAAACAAAATAGCGACGCTATTACCAGAGGCGGAGTGGATGAGAGGCAGACAGGACCCATAGATGCCCCCAGTCTCCAGCGCCCCTGGTCAGTCCACCATCAGCCACCCAGTCTATGCTTCCATTACTGTTCTCCCTCTTTGCCTCCCTCAAGCTGGGGGTGACCTTGCCTACTGCAGAGAGAAGTCAGATACCAGCAGATAAAAGCGTGAATACTCATGCCTCCCACCAAAACCAGGCTCTCTGCCCTCACCCTGGTTGGGTTGAGATCTTCCCAGGCCCCCGCCCACCTCAGTCCATCAGTTATCCCCCTTCCTGTCCCTTCAGCCCTTCTCTACAACCTGAGTTTCTGCCATCTTAAAAAAAAAGCCAAAGCTGCTCCTTCAACCCTTTCACCCCAAGCCACCGCTCTCTCAGCTCCCTTTTAAGTGTTGCTTCTGCTCACCTCTGAGTTTCTCACCTCCCACTCCCTCAGTCTCGTCAACAAGTCAATAACCACCAACCCACTGAAGCAGCTCTTGCCATGCTCCCCTAAAGCCAAAGCACACTTCACAGGTGCTACCTTCCTCATCCACAGCAATGACAGCTGACCTCTTCTTCCTTCCAGACACACCTGGCTCACAATGCCAGCAGCTCCTGGTGGCCCTGAAGTCTGGCCGCTCTTCAGTCTCCTTAGTGTCTGCCCCAGTCCCTCCCCTCTCCAGGCCCTGTGTCCAACGCCCACTCAACAGCCCCCCTTTTAGCAGTCTCACAGTGTGATGGTTAATTTTCTGCGTCAACTTAGTTCAGTTATGGTTCCCAAAGGTTGGAGCAAATACTAGACTAGATGCTGTTCCTCAGTGTAATCTGATGTAGGGATCACCTTCCATAATGTAATCTAATGCTATCAATATATCAGTTGAAAAGCGAATTTCCTTAGGGTGTGTTCTGCCCCCAGACTATAGATAGGAGATTTTACGTATTTTGGCAGAATGCACTCTCCACTCTGCCCTCTGTCGTCTGACCTACAGATCTTGGGATTAAAGCTGCAGAAGTCTCCAGTCTTCCACCCCACCTAGGGATTTTGGACTTGTCAGCCCACCACAATCCAGTGAGCCAATCTTTTGAAGTAAAGCCACATAAATGTACGTAAAAGGAGAACCAGTGGTAAAAAATGGTTATGCACTCAGCTGCTAACGGAAAAGTTGGTGGTTTGATCCCACCCAGAAATTCCGTGGGAGAAAGACCTGGCAATTTGCTTGTATAAAGAATATAGCCAAGAAAACTCTATGGGGCAGTTCTACTCTGTCCTGGGGTCACTGAGTCAGAATTGACTCAAGGGCACCCAACAACATACAAATATATAGCTCACCAGTTCTGTTTCTCTGGAGAACTCTCAGACACATAGGTACCCCAAATCATCACTGCCACTCTTGTGGTCCTGAGGCCACATCCTGCTCTTCCTCCTGTGGCCCCCAGCTGGAAAAGGACCCCCAGCCCTACCCATGCTGAATAAACCTGGGGGTAGTCCTTGATGACTCCCTCCCTGTTGACCCACGTCCAGCCAGTAACGGTGCTCTTCATTGAGACCTCAAGTCTGTCCACTGCCTTTCACACCCACTGCCCCACCCGATCCAGGCCGCCATCACCCTCGATGCCCTCCTGCAGAGTTCCCTGTTCCTTGATGCCTCCATCACGATAAAGTTGTTGACTCCCCAGATGCAATCACAGCCTTCCCGAGTGGTGACACCGTAGCTCAAGGGTGTACTCAGAAATGCCTGTTGACTGACCCCGTCACTGCCCAGCTCGAAAGCCATCCTCGATGCCCTTCACGATCATACCTGGCCCGGGCTGCTGCTCTTTCTCACACACCCTTCACCACACCAGGCGCAACTGGGTTTTCAAAGCCCATTCCCATTACCTGTCCCACCTATCCCCTCGTGGCAGCCTAGGGTGGGCAGAGTGGACTGCACCCGAGAGATGAGACTGCTCAGAGAAGGACAAGAGCCTGCCCGGCGCCCCCCAGCATGACCAGCACCTACTGGCTCAGGCCTCAGGCCCCCCTGCCCACCTTTCTTCCATCAGCATCTCTGGGCCTGCCTGGGCAGAACCTCGGGCTCTGGCCTCTCCAGCTGATCTCTCCCTTCGCTCCACTGCTGCCCAGCCCACCGCTGCCCCCAGGCCCAGCTCAGCTGGTGGAAGGCAGGTGGATGGATAGGAAAAATGGCCACAGAGCCTTGGACAGAGACTGGGAGAGACACCGATGTTCCCTTTTATTTTATTTTAATAAATTTAAGAACAGCTCTACCCTCTCTTCTCCCCCCAGAACAACTAAAACCAACTAAAAGGGAGCACAGCCTGGGGGGCAGGGGGCGCTAGGAGTCATAATCCTCTTCATCCTCTGCATCTGGCGCTGACGGGCCCGGGGGCGCTGGGGGCAGAGGCACAGTCGAGGTGAAGGGCATGAAGGGCGTTGGGGGGCTGTGGGGCAGAAAGCAGGAGACAACAATCAGACCATGCTCCAGGCCCATTCCTGCCTGTGGAGCCCCACCCCACCCTACCCTCTACAGACACAGGCAAGGAGCCCATCACCCTCTGTGCCCACAGGGAGCCACGCCCCAGAGACAGCAAGGGCCCAAAGCAGGACACAGAGCCCTGCCCAGGCTCCGTCCACTGCCCTCACCTGGGGTGACAGGGGGCCTTCTGACAGTTCCCCCCAAATCTGCCACAAGCCACGGAAACAAACAATGGCCGTAGAGGACAGAAGGGACAAGCTGGTCTTGGCAAGTCTGCTGGCCCTCCTGGCTCTGCTGAGCTGTTTACCTCTGAAAGTGGGCAGGGGGGTGGCTGGCCTGGGGTGGGGGCTGTGGCGTCTCCTCTTCCCCCTCGGTGTCTGTGTCCTCAGACTCGTCCTGTGAGGGAAGCAGAACTCAGGGTGACGAGAAAAAGCATGTCTGAGCCCATCGCTGGGGCCCCCAGAGCTCTGGGGGTGGTGGGACAGGAGGCAGATCCCAATAGATCCGATTTACAAAGAAAGAAACCAAGGTGTAAACAGGTCCCTGATAATGATGGGCCCCAGCCTCCAGCCAGCTCAGCCTGATGCTGAGGCCCCCAGGTGCCACCCCCTCCATCAGAGCAGGGCCAGACAGAGCATCGGGCCTCCTCACCTCCTGCTCTGAGTCCGTCCCCGACAGCTTCTTGTCCTTGCCTTTGCTTCCCATGCCACCATTCTTCCGGCTGCTGCTGCCTGGCTTCCGGCCCCTTCGGGAAGGTACAGTCCATCTGCCCAGGGGTCTCCCCTCTCCTGAGCCACCCCCCAACCACCCCCTGCCCCTGTGGCCTTGGCCTTCCCCACCTGGACACCTGGCACCCCACCTGCGGGCACCCTTGTCCCCGTCCATGTGGTTGTCTTCTCCATCCCCCTGCATGTCAGGCACAGAGGCCACCAGGTCCTTCAGAAAGTCAAACTGCTGCTCCAATTCAATGCATTGCTTCCTGGGGCGGGGCGGGGGGGGAGGGCGGCACTGAGGTAGGGCCCAGAGAGAGGGCCTGGATGTCAGGAGAATGAGAACTGGAAGAACTCTCACCCCATCTCCACCACCAGACCTGCTCCCTTTGCTCAGGTTACTCCCCCTGCCTGAAATACCCAGCCCCTTCTTCACCGGTCCAATCCCACTGTCTGTCAGCCGCCTTCCACCTCCCTCTTGATCAGGGCGCCGCCTGCCTAGGTAGTAGAGTCCCGCCTCCCCTAAGAGAGTGAACTCTTGAACTTCTCGGCCACGGCCCCTCCCAGCTCGGCGGGCCACTCACAGGTGGGACGTGGTCATGGTCTTGGCGTTGCGGGACTGGGTCACCTGGCAGGCCTTCTTCAGCAGCGACTCCAGGAAGAGCTCCAGCGCCCGGGCTGAAGGGTGTCAAGGAGAAGGCGGTAGGGGGATTCCCCAGGCTGCCTCCCTCCCCCATGCCCCCCAACCGGCCAGCCCCCGGCCGGATACAGATGATGACAGGCACAGCCGCCGCCACCTTCCCAATCTCCTCGTCCGTCTGCATGATCTTCTTGATCCGCGCCTGGAAAGAGGGGAAGAGAGCTCGGACTCCACCGCTTCCTTCCCGAAAAGGGGTACTGGGGGTACGAGAGGGGATACCGGGAGATAAGGGCGGGTGGGGGGCATAGACGGGGGGGAGGGGAAGGGGGCGGGGCGTCCAGGCCCCCGGACACCGCGAAGTGCCCGCCCCCCCAGCGGGGTTCGGGCCGGGCCTCCCCGGAGCCGGGCCTGCTCCTCCCCAGCCCGGCCACGTGCTCACCGGCGGGAACCGCGCGTTGTACTTCTTCTTCTTGCTCGGCATCTCGGGGCCTCTCCCGACCCGCCGGGCCCAGCGCCGCCGCCCGCAGCCTCCCGGCCCCCGGGCCTGCTTGCCGTCCGCCCGTCGCGCTTCCCCCGGGTCCTGGCGCCGCCCGCTCCGCCCCCGCCGTTCCCCACGGGGTCCTAGCGCCGCTTCTCAGGACGAAGCTCGCAGCGCCCAGGACCCTCCCCTTCAGCCTACGGGGCGGTGCGTGTCGTCCCCGGCCGTCCGGCCCGCCTCTCCTGCCGGCCCCCTAGGCCTGAAGACCGAACGTTAACTCCGCCTCCCGGTCGGCCCGCCTCCTCGGGTTCCCGCGGTGGCCCCGCCCCTTTCCGGCCCCGCCCAGCTGCGCTGCCCGGCGGCCCCGCCCCGTGGCTGCGCTTGTCTATAAAGTTGTTGTTGAGGAGGCGAACGCTAAGATGGCGGCGGCCGTGGCGGGGGAGGGGCGTGGCGGCGGCGCGGAGCCCCGGCAGGAACGGAGCCGGGCCCGGGGTTGGGCCAGAGCCGAACGCAGCGAAGGCCGGAGGTGACGGTGGTGCGGCGGGAGGGGTAGGACAGGGGCGGGGGCCCATTTCGGTCTGCGGGTGCTAATGGCGGCGGGCGCGGCGGGGCTGGTAGCTGGCCCTCCTGCAGGCTCTAACCAGCCAGGGTTCGTGTCCGGGCACCGCCCCATCGGCCGCGGGCCCGTCACTGCCTCTCTGGGCCGCAGTGTCTTCATCTTTAAGTGGGCACGACAACGCCCATCGGGAGGCCTGGCCCTACAGGGCGCGCCTCGGGTGCTGCGGGAGCGTGCCTCCCTCCATTAAATCCAGAGCGTCGGCTCTCTGCCAGGCTCTGACGAGACGAAGGGCGCTTCGCTAGGGCCAGGAGCTGTGATGGGGCCGGGAGCTTCCACCCCTGGATTCACATTTCGGCTTTGCCATAGTACGGGTGTGACCTTGGGCAGGTGCCTTTTAGAGCTTCAGCGTGCTCGTCTGTAAGTCAGAGGTGATCACAACAATAGCAGTGACACTTACGTAGTGCTTTCCCCACCTCAGGCGTTTAATTCTCACAACAGCTCTGTGCGACAGGAAGAGTTGTTATTCCATTAGGAAGGTGAGGGTAACAGAGGCACAGTGATATTAAGTCTTGCCCAAGGCCACACAGTTTAGGCCAGTACCCGGCACCTGGTAGGGCCCAGCCAGCGGTAGCTATTGTCTCAGACCCGCTCTGACTGGATTCCCTCTTAGCAGGATGGAGCCAGGTGAGGAGCCCGAGGAAGAAGACTCTCCAGGCGGCCGGGAGGATGGCTTCACCGCGGAGCACTTGGCCGCAGAGGCCATGGCGGCTGACATGGACCCCTGGCTGGTGTTTGATGCTCGCAGCACACCTGCCTCTGAGCTGGATGCCTGGTTGGCCAAGTACCCACCATCCCAAGTTACCCGCTATGGGGACCCTGGCTCGCCCAACTCTGAGCCGGTGGGCTGGATCGCAGTGTACGGGCAGGGCTACGCCCACAACTCTGGCGACGTGCAGGGTCTGCAGGCAGCCTGGGAGGCTCTGCAGACCAGCGGGCGGCCCATCACACCCAGTACCCTGCGCCAGCTGGCTGTCACCCACCAGGTGCTCTCAGGCAAGTGGCTGATGCACCTGACACCTGGCTTCAAGCTGGACCACGCCTGGGCCGGCATTGCCCGAGCCGTGGTGGTCGAAGGCCAGCTTCAGGTGGCCAAGGTGAGCCCACGGGCCAAGGAGGGTGGGCGCCAGGTCATCTGCGTTTACACGGACGACTTCACGGACCGCTTGGGTGTACTGGAGGCGGACACAGCCATCCGGGCTGCAGGCATTAAGTGCCTGCTCACCTACAAGCCTGACGTCTACACCTACCTGGGCATTTACCGAGCCAACCGCTGGCACCTCTGCCCCACTCTTTATGAGAGCCGTTTCCAGCTGGGAGGTGATGCCCGCGGCTCTCGTGTGCTTGATCGAGCCAACAATGTGGAACTGACCTAGTGGGGCCAGGCGGGGGAGACCACCCTGGGATGGGCCATCCATGCTGGGAAGGATGCTCCCCCCTTCCTCCTCGTCACCCCAAGGAGGCCAGGCCCCAGCTCGGGGACTGCCTGCATCTTCGACTCCCTTGATCCTCTGCCCTCTGTTTAGGACTAACTCAAGCCCCCACAGGCGGGGGGCTCTGGCTCACTGAGGGCCGGACCCTCAGCCTCTCTTCGCTGCTGCTCCCCTCCCCCTCCCAGGACCACAGGCTGGGGCCAGACGCCAGAGGGGGGAGCCGTCCTCGGCCACCCCTGTCACCTCACCAGGCTGCACCTTCTCTCCTCCTGCATCGTCCTCTTCGCTTCCTCCCTCACGAGGGAGAAAACTCAGTGCTTCCAGTCCCTCCCCTTGGAGCCTTCGAAGTCCATGGGGCAGGGGCCCTGTGGGCCAGAGCATGCCGTTGGGGGTAGGGGAGTCATTGTGCCCACTCAGCGCCTGGCAGAGAGAGGGGACACCAGGGACACCGGACCCGCCCCTCCCTGCGACTCAGCCTGCACCACCTCCCTTCCTCAGCTCCCTTGTCCCGCGCCTGCTCCTGGTATTTCAATAAAGCCCAGCTTGGGTCTGTGTCTTGAGTGTTTTTGTCTACGTGAAATACTAAGACACATCTCACTGCCAAGGCCCAGCTCCTCTCAGAACGTCTGGGAAGCCAGCCCTGCTCCCCCATCCCAAGAATCAGAATCAGTTTCTCAGTGATTTCCCGTAAATCCAAGGGCTTGGCCCTTCCAGGCAGACCCGAGAGACCACTGTTAGCCTCACGTTTATGAGTAATATATGTACATGTGTATGTACGGCATATGCATTTGGGCAGATTAAAGAAAGGTGCCCCCCTGGCAGAGGCAGCCAGGGCCAAGGCACATGGTTTGGCGAGCGGAGCACGGGCTGCGTCTCAGTGCCCTGGGCTGGACGTGCTTGTGCAGCGAACAACCTGTACAACCTTTGCTGGTGGCCGTGGCAGTCCTCCCTTTATACTGACCTCTCTTACGGCGCTGTCATGGGGGCCACTGAACAGTTTGCAAAGCATTTCCATATGTGTCACCAAATTTGTCTCAACTTCTTTTTGAAGGAAATATTGGCCCCATTCTGTGGTCAGGAACATTGAGGCCCAGAGGGGAAGGGAGTTCCCTGGGGTTAGGTGGTGAATAGAGCAGGGAGAGCTAGAACTTGCACCCCGTCCCTGCCTCCTCCAGCCTTGAAGAGGAAGCCTCACCCACAGCTCTTTACAACCCACAAAGCACTTTCACTCCCATGACTTTGCTGGGCTGTCCTGATAGGCTACTGTAGTCTCTGGGAGCCGGTTCCTGCCCCCCTACTCTTCCCCCAGCCCTGGCCTTGGTCAGGAGCCAGGTCATCTGGCAGGGAGCCCCTTGGGACACTGCTCTCGTGCTGTGCCGGAGCTGACTCAGCCTCCAGCACCCTCACCAAATCGGAATTTGGAGCAGGGGAGCAGAGATGCCACTCGGCTGACTGGGTGGAAGTGGGGGTGAGTCAAGCGATGCTGGATGCTGGTTCAGCCCCTTCCCCAGCTTCCTCCCCACCCGACTCCTGACTCCTGGGGACAGGCCTTGGGAAGTCCCTAGAACCTGTGGTTGAGCTGGAGCCTGGTGCCCTGCTCCCTCAGGCCCACAGTGCCTTGGCCAAAGAGGACCAAGACTTGAGGGTCCTGGCCAGGCCCTCATGGGTCCTGCCAGGATGCCCACATGGTGTCAACAAGACCTGGTTCACTGAGCAGTATCACGCTCATCCCCTCGTCTCCTTCTAGCCCAGACTGCCTCCTGCACCCCATCCCCTCACCACCACTCCCACACACACAGCCCTGTCTATGGATCCTGCAGGACAATCCCCACCCACTGCCCAGCTTCCCTTGGGCACCCCTTCTGCCTTGTGCTCAGCCCACTGGCGCCAACTGGCACTTCCTTCAGCCCCTGGCACGCAGCCCCCGGCCTCCGGCAGTGCCGTCTGCTTGAGCACCTGCCACACGGCACCATGTTGGGTAGGACGGTGTGGTTACTGTGTGATCACTGATTGATGTCTAGCGTCCCGCTGGCCCCTACGCCATGAGCCCAGACCACGTGCCCCACACTCCACGAGGGCAGGAACGGTGTTCACATTTCAGCCCTGTCCTTGGAGCAGCCTCTCCATAAATGAATGAATGCACCAGGGACTCCAATCTGGCCCCCAAAGCCCCTCCAACCTAGTCTCTCCTCCGCTCCCGGCTTCAACCTCTTATTCCAGAAACATGAGCTGCGTCCGGTTTTCTCACACACACTCTGGCCTTTCTCACGTCCCGGCCGGTGCACGTGCCCTTGCTCTTGACGGCCCTGCTCATGCCTGACCCTCGGGTGTCATCCTCCCAGAGGTTTCTTCTCCCCTGCCCCCTCACCCCACCCTCACCCCAACTGCAGAAGCCCCTCCTCCGGGCTCCCACAAGACCCCCCCGCCTCTGGCTCTCGTCTGCGTATCTGTGGTGCCTTGAGGGCAGCAGCCATGCTTTACTCCCCAGGGTGTCCTCAGGGTCCGGCACAGGACCTGGCCTAGCGCAGGCGCCAAGAAGCATTGCGTGACTAAGTGAGCAGTTGAATGAAAGTCACCGTCTGTTTCCGAGCCTCGGTTTCCTCATTCAAGGAAATCATAACAAAAGGCAGGCACTGTGCTAAGTGTTTACCTACTTTATCCCATCGAAGCTTCACTGGGCTCTAGTATTGTCGCCATTTTGCAGAAGAGGAAACTGAGGCCCAGAGAAGCTCAGTAACTGGCCCAGGGTTACAAAGCTAGTAAGTGGCAGAGCCAGGATTTGAACCCAGGCCATCGCACTTCAGGGCACCTGATGCATTACTGAGCCCCCGCTATGTGGAAGCGCTGCTGGGATAGGGTGGCAAGAACAAAGGAGCCCCAGCAAAGACTTAGGATCCGATTTGTACAGCTCACAGGTTGAGGCCTCAAAACCCAGTGGCAGAGACGCTGGACCCAGAGAAAGATTCCCATTTTGCTGATGAAGAAACTGAGCCCAAACAGTGCAGGGATTAAGCCTACCTGGGCAGGAAGGGTCTCTCAGGCCTACAGTGGAGGCTGCTCCCCTCACGGGCCAAGGGCTCCCTGAAGCCCACCTCCTCAGGCTGGCAGGGGGCTCTACCCTGTTGACCAGCCCCCTCCCACATGGGGAAGTGGCTCAGGCCCAGGTGGGCGGGGTGAAACCTGTGCTTTGCTCCCTCCTATAAAGCCAGGGGGATGGCTGAGGCAAGAGAAATGAGGAGACTCCCCACTGTTCCTCTTCCCTCTTACACAAACTGCGAACCCCCAGACCCCAGGGAGGAGGTGCAGGGAGTGGGAGAATATCTGCACAACCCCTAACTCCAGCCACGTTCACGGCTAACTAGGCTAACTCGGGGGACAGGAAACAGCTGAGTTGGGAGAAAGCTTCTGCTAGAGCTTTGGCGGGGTTCTCGGGGATTTTCCCGGCGGGGCAGCTGCACCCCGCTCCCACCCGCTGGGAGGGGCCCTGGCAGGGACGAGGCTTGGATCACACAGCTGATTCATCATGGTGAGAAACTCCCCGCTTCTCTGACGTGCATCCCTCAGGCACCAAGAGGTAACCTGAAGACACCGGCCCCACGGTCCCCCAACCTCATCTTTTCCTGGCCCCTGGCCTCCTGGCAGGGCGAGGAAGACCCCCAGGCTCAGCAGAGGGACAGAGGGGAGGGCAAAGGGCAGGGCTTAGGGGGCAGCTTCCCAGGCAATAAAAACCGGAGACTGGAACCCTGTCTGGACACCTCAAGCATCCTCCCTCATCCATTTTATAGATGAGGAAACTGAGGCTTAAATAGTAAGAGCAAACACGTACCCAGACCTACTCTGTGCTAGGCGCTGCCAAGGCACTCTATATATACTAACTCATTTTGGTCCTCACAACCCCCATTTTACTGATGAGGAAACTGAGGCAGAAGAGGTGAAATAACTTGACCAAGGTCAAGGCTAGCCATTGCCCAGCAGCCACCACATCCCCCACAGTGCTAGTACACACATCCATGACACAGCGCTTCGCCCCTGCTCCCCGAGCAGCTCTGGCCCCTGGGGGCAGACACCTCCCTGGGGTGAAGTTTGCAGTGATTTCCTGGGGACCTTCCACCCTTGGGTCCCAACTCTGCCCCTACAGACCCTAGAGGACAGACAGATCACCCACCCAGCCCCGGCTCCTCTCCCCCAGGGTTAAGCGGAGAAAGCCGGCTCCTGTGGAAAAATCCACCAAACCCTCAGAGACCAGGAGAGGGCAGAGAGGCATTGGCGCCAAAATCTTCCTCTGGGGCTTCGGCTCCATTCCAAACCTCAATCCTTTCCTCACGAGTCAGAGCCTCCCTTTCCTGTCTGCCACCCCCCTCCCCAACACACACACACACACACACACACACACACACACACACACACGTGTGCGTGCACGTCCCAGCTGGCTCCTGTCCCCCAGGGTGCCACACTGGCCTGCTTAGGGGGCAGTGAGTTGTGTCTCCGTGAGGCGTGGCCATGGGCCCCAAGCGGGCGAGCTCTGCCCCGTCGGGCTCCCACTCACGCTGCGTGACTCACCCACTTGCCCCCCATGACTCAGTTTACACCAGTGCCTGGAGGTCCTCCCGACATGGGCGGGGCTGGTTTATTGGCCCAGGACGGGGGCCAGGAGCCTTTCATCCCAGGATGAGCATTTCGTCCCCCCTCCTGGCCCAGAGGAGGGGCTGGCACCCGCGGGGGAAGCACTCCCGTCTCCCTGGATCCTGGGTGGCACCTGGAAGCTCCAAGTCTGGTAGAGTGGGGGAAGCCCAAGAACAGGGTGACAGACTCCAGCTGCCCTGGGCCTGGATGTGCAGGAGGCAGGAGCTGAAGGTACCAGGCCAAGCGGGCACAGCTTTCCTGGGCACCCATAGCAGAGCCCCAGACACCGGTGGTTCACAGGAAATGGTCTCCAAGGGGCAAAGCACCATAGCCAGAATCCCCAGACATTGATCCCATTCTGTACCAGGCCCTGTGCTAAGCGCTAGCCACACCTTATCTTTTTTTTTTTTTTTAACGAAGAGAAGTTTATTTCCTCACAGTCAAAGTAGGCTAAAAGTCCAAATTGAGGGTGTCAGCTCCAGGGGAAGGCTTTTTCTCTCTGTCAGCCTTCTTCTCTTCAGTGTTCCTCCGGACTAGGAGATTGTCTGCGCAGGCACCCTGGTCCAAAGGACGCACTCTGCTCCTGGCACTGCTTTCTTGTTGGTATGAGGTCCCCCACACCTTATCTTATTTACTCCCCAACAACTGGGAGACAGGTACATTTATTATCATATCCTTTTTACAAGTGAGGGAACTGAGGCATAGAGAAGGGAGTTGTCCAGGTTGCAAAGCCAGGACATGGCTGAGCTGGGATTCAAACCCAGGCCTTTGGTCATCAAACCTCACATTGTTGTTGACCACCCCCCCCTCCCAGAGCTGGGCCGGTTGAAGCAGAGAGGAGGGCCCAGTGGTCAGCTCTCTCCCTGCTCCAATTGGATCTTCACTGAGACCTTTGGTTTTAGGGAGCGCAG